ACCAATAATTCCCCATGTGGTACTGTATCAAATGCCTTACTGAAATCGAGGTAGATTAGATCCACTGCATTTCCTTTATCTAAAAAATCTGTTACTTTCTCAAAAAAGGAGATCAGGTTGGTTTGGCACGATCTACCTTTTGTAAATCCAGGTTGTAATTTGTCCCAATTGCCATTAACCTCAATGTCCCTAACTACTTTCTCCTTCAAAATTTTTTCCAAGACCTTGCATACTACAGATGTCAAGCTAACAGGCCTGTAGTTACCCGGGTCACTTTTTTTCCCTTTCTTAAAAATAGGAACTATATTAGCAATTCTCCAGTCAAATGGTACAACCCCTGAGTTTAGAGATTCATTAAAAATTTTTGCTAATGGACTTGCAATTTCATGTGCCAGTTCCTTTACCATTCTTGGCTGAAGATTATCTGGGCCCCCCGATTTACTCCCATTAAGATGTTTGAGTTTGGCTTCTACCTCTGATTTGGTAATATCTACCTCCATATCCTTATTCCCATTTGTTATGTTGCCATTATCCCTAAGCTCTTCATTAGCCTCATTAAATACTGAAGCAAAGTATTTGTTTAGATATTGGGCCATGCCTAGATTATCCTTAACCTCCACTCCATCCTCAGTGATTAGCGGTCCCACTTCCTCTTTTTTTGTTTTCTTCCTATTTATATGGCTATAAAGCCTTTTACTATTGGTTTTAATTCCCTTTGCAAGGTCCAACTCTACATGACTTTTAGCCTTTCTCACTTTGTCCCTACATGCTCTAACTTCAGTAAGGTAGCTTTCTTTGCTGATCCCTCCCATCTTCCACTGTTATATGCCTTCTGCTTTTTCTTAATCACCTCCCTGAGATTCTTGCTCCTCCAACTTGGTCTAAAACACCTACCTATACATTTTTTCCTCTTTCTTGGGATACAGGCTTCTGATAGCTTCTGCAACTTTAACTTAAAATAATCACAGGCCTCCTCCACTTTTAGATCCATAAATTCTTTAGTCCAATCCGCTTCCCTAACTAATTTCCTTAATTTATTAAAATTAGCCCTTTTGAAATCAAAAACCCTAGTCTCAGATTTATTTTTGTTTATCCTTCCATTTAGTTTGAACTGAATTATCTCATGATCACTCGAGCCAAGGCTGTCCCCTGCAACCATTTCTTCTATGACATCCTCGCTACTCACCAAAACCAAATCTAAAATGGCTTCCCCTCTTGTTGGTTCAACAACTACTTGATGAAGGAATTCATCAGCTATCACATCTAGGAAAATCTGAGCCCTATTATTATTACCAGTATTTGTTCTCCAGTCTATATCTGGAAAACCACCCCCCGGCCTGGCTGCTAGCCTTCCCACCGGCTCCCCACCTCCTGCCGGCCCCACTGCCCTGCAGACCCCCCAGGCAGCCATCGCTGCTGGGACTCCCAACCCCATTGGGCAGCCCTGCTGCCATGTGTTGGGCAGCCCTGCCATGAGCTCCCTTCAGGTAGCCCATTGCCCTGAATCCCTGCAGAGATCCTTACTGCTGGCCCTCCACCGGCATTCTCTGGTCTGTCAACATCCAAGCCAGACCATGGTGGTTGATGGACCAGAGAATCCCAGTTAAGAGTATTTCAACCTGTACTAATGTATGTATTTATCTGACCAAATATGGACAATGGTCATTTAGCCAAAACATTTCATGCTCAAACATTGGGTGGGAATAATAGTATTATGGCAAGTATTAAGTTAAGAGTATGAGGAAAGCAGGGCATTGAATATGGTGCAATGATCCTTGGGCCATAGGCTTTTCATCTAAATTTAAAAACCAAAAAGTTTAAGTCCATTCCCAGTGGGAATTTAGTTGAGGGAGAGTTGCACTTACTGTTGAGAAGACGGAAGTCTATGTATGGATAGGAACCACGGCGCTCAGAGAGAACCACTGTCTGACCTCTCACCCGTGCATCTCCTGCAAAACAAACCCCCCACAGATATTAGAAGCGGTGTCCACCCTTTCTTATGTAATATTAACTATCCACATTCACAGAATCACAATCCTCTTCCAGGAAAGCCATGCTTCAAATACCATTTCATATGGGCTTCCCTGGAGAGCCAGTTAATACAGTACATCTCAACATACAGATATGATGGGGTATAGCAGAAAAGATTTAGCCCTCCAATTGAACAGCTGCTCATCCAGTGAATAGACTCACATTTCTTCAGGAACATAATCGATGCCGAGAGGGTGATCAGCATTGCATGTAATGTAAGCAAGAGCATTCTGCCTTAAAGACCTCGTAGTCTAAACCACAGACACACAAATGCCGTCACCTTTACAAAAATTATTCATCAGCCTCCCAAATACAATGAAACTTGTTTTAAAATCATGATATTAGAACAGTTATTCATTTCATTTCCCTTTGTGTTTTTAAGATGTAGTCAGGTGATGTTTTCAAGATTTTCTTAGCAACAATGAAAGTTAGACGGGTTCATTAAAAAAACAAAAAACAAAAAAAACAACAAGCTGTGATTCTCAAAAAAGCTAGCATGACACCAGGAGAAGAGGGCTGTGATACTCAAAAAAGCTAGCATGACACCAGGAGAAGAGGAGTTTAGGAAAGAAACTAAATATTAGCAGGTTTGGAATAAGATTGTGAGACTGGGCAACACTGCTCACATTGACAAGTGCCATATTATCTCCTCAAGCTGTACCACTGAAACTAATGAGACATGTTGGAGAGCAAAGTCCCATTAAGGTTGGGGAGAAGTGGCCAAATCAGCCCTAGAATACACAGTAGTGTGGAGAATATAGCTACATTCAGAGCAGTCTCCTTCTGAGTTTTTAATTTTTCTGTGAAGACTCCTGAGATCTCTAAAGAGAATTAGTCTACCTGCTCCTAATGTAACTGTACCAACATCTAACAGCAAATAACCTGTAACAGAGCACTGTGAAACAACAGAAATCCAAAGGACAAAAGTATGAAAACATGGCTTAGGGTTAACGAGCAAAGACGACAACTTCCTAGACCAACAGTGGCAGTAAACTGGTGTTGAATGCCGTTGATTGGCATGAGTCTTTTGGGTGTTGATTGAGCCCAAGAAGTTGATGTCTTTTCCCCTCTCCGTAGCATAACAAGAATTCCAAGTCATGCTGCAACCACTCTTGGTTAGAAAAAGGCACTGGGAAATATCTGAAATCATTATTTTTCAAGGATTATTGATGCTACCTTTAGAGAGGGCAAGTGTTTGATGGCTCATCTAGCTCTAGCTTGAGAATCTGTTACTTAATAAGCATGCCAGATGCCACCGAGCTCCTCTCCATCTCATTTTAGGGAAGGTTTCTGAGAATATGGTAGAAGGCTAACTCCAGCATCAGCTCATTTCCCATTTTTTTTTTTTTTTTTTTTTTTTGAATCTTGGATTGAGAAGACACTTATGGGCTTCTCTACCCCAGTTAATTAAGTGTCAGTGCATTCAGAGGAAGGGCTAAAGAATGGTGAGAAGTCTACCGATAAAGCCAGGTATAGTCAGCAGACATGCATCAATATAAAGCATCGTTCCCTGGAGGTAAGCATTGTTTATTGCACATTGCCAGATTGTAGGTGTTTCTTTTTAAATCTTTGTCAGGCCCATCATCAATTCACTGAACCTTTCTACCTGCTGTATTAGTGATCAAATTGTGTGTACTAATGTGTCTGCCTGCTGGAGATTTGGAGCATGCTCCAGCTGGAGGGGACTGGTTTGGTCTCTATGTACAAATTTCATATGCCTGTGCCCTACAGCTCTCTAATCAGGACCGTGATCAAACTTGATTTCTACAAGGAGGAAGATCAGTGATGCTGCAAACGATTTGCTAGCTCTCTGGTGCAAACTTCCAGCAATTTGCCTTCAAGCTTAAAATAAAGCCAAATGGTTGTTCTTCACTTAATACAATTAGTTGTGTTTCATTTCAAACAGCTTTTTGTAGCAAAAAGGAAAACATTTGTGGAAACAGGACAGGACATTTTGACAGCTGCCATTCCAATCACTGCTCTATTTTCAGCGTGTTTCAAGGAGAACCAAATAAGGTGAGGGGAAATACAAAAAGTTGTTTTGCTTTTATTTTTTTCAGGCAGAAGTCATAGCATAGCACACTACCATGTCCAACGTTACACACACATGCCAGCTGCATGTTTGTCAGATCTAAAGGCTGGAGGCAGCTACTGGGCCCTCCAAAGGAGACATTTTCTCAATGAATCTTTTGCCCACTTGGCAGCTTACTTTGTCTCCTTGTAATAGCAATACATTTTAAAAAAAGCTTGTGCTAGGTAATAGGAGTGAATGTGACTTACTATATAATGGTCAGTAAGCGTGAAGACGTTGGCGGTGCTGACGCTTTACAGTTGCTAGAACATCAGCCGCATGACAACCAGAATCTGGCTGCAATTATCGGGTCACAATCCTTTCAAAGTGGGGAAAAGGGGCAAGACAGGAATGCAGTCACTATTACTGAGTGGCTGCTGCAAATGCAGTAAACAAGCAGAAGGAACCTTCCTTTTCCAAAAGCTGCTGTTTGAAATGCTGCAGGACTGAATTTCACCATGTAGGCAATTCACATTAGCAAGGAGAACAGATTGTAGCTATGACACAGTGACAAGGCTGCAGCATGCAACAGCAGCTGGGATCTGCCACAATGCAATTTAGTCTGTTTAATACATGGCTCCATGTAAGATTTTATGGATGACAACAATTCCCAGACTGCTAACAGTGTGGACCTGACTCAGCATTTCTCCAACTGCCATCTAAAGCCATCCAGGCTTTCAAATACCGTTTTATGAAAACTTCAGGTTTCAGATGGCAGCCCATCACTGTAGTATCTTGGCACCTTCTGCAAAGCATAGAAGTCCCTACTGGACTGAGAGGAAGCTCTGGGTCTTCTACCTTTTGAGTTATACAAAGGATTTGGATTGCTGGAAAGGGAGAACAGGGTTTGTTGAAGATTTGAATGTTATCATCATGTTCACAAACATTTCAGTGCATGTTAGTTTCTGCACTGTACCGTGTCTGCTGTCAAGTGGCACTATTCATGAAAGGATCTCGGAGTGCTGTATAAAGGAGGGCAAATATTGTGGTAACCCTACAAGGAGTTCCTGGAACTCTGGACTGGAACCCTGCAACCCAGTCTGAACCCAAAGGGAGCCAGTTACCAGCACTGGCTTTGGGTTGGCTCAGAAAACGAGACCATCTCAAGTGTGGGTTGGATGGGCTCTCATGGCCACCTTTTACCCCTGGGATCAGCCCAGCATTAGCTGCAGGACATGGCACTCCTGCCAGCCCCTGCACTGTGTATGCTGCAGAGAAAGTTCTCTAAAGAGGCACAGTGCAGGAGGCAGTGGGATGGCACTGGCTAAGGTTCCGCAGAAAGGGCTAGGGAGGTCAGGTCAGAAAATAACTCAACCCCCTTGGGCTCAGGTCTGGTTTTGGTCTGGGTCAGGCTTAACACGTAAGGCCAAGCAGAGCTGTGTGATGGAGGGCCTCTATGGGGTCCTACTGCAACATACAGAAACATTTATGTGCATAGAGTTCAGTGCATAACAAATGGGTCAAGCTAGATGGCTGCCTCAGTCTCGCCAACACATCACTACCATCTTTCCTGCACACAGACCATCCGTGTCTTGTTTCACTATAGTTGTTCTTATGCACTGACGTCCTGATGCACACAAGAACTTCCACCGCCAGCATACAACAATAAAGGCTACAAGAGCCCTTGGTTACCATTTCCCAGCATGCGTGGAGTCGGGGCTCTAGTCAGAAGGGACAAGAAATGAACCAGGGAGGCTTCTGCATAGGGTGATCTGGCCAAACAGCTTGCCGGGCCAGGACCGAGTCAGGATGCTCAGCTCCTCAGAGGAAGGGGAGAGCCTGACTCAAAAGCACAGACTCGTTTCCATGTCAGGTCTGGGGTTTGACTTTGGGGAGCTGAGGAGAGAGAAGCCAAACAGCTCAAGCAAGGAGTGTCTGAGTAACACCCCACCTGACAAAGGGAGTCTTTGAATGCTGTGGGATCTAGTGCATTGGTCAGGTAGTTCCAGCCCTGTAGAGATCAGTGTCCAGAGCGGCAGAGATCTAATCCAGAATGGGCTATCTGGAGCCAGCCAAGGCCTCCACAGAACTCCAGACCAAGAAGCCTAAGAGGATCCTGCCTCAGCCAGGCAGCCAGTGTTCACAGCATTGTAATGCGTGTTTCCAGACTCTTCCCTAGTGGGTCAGCCTGTGGGCAGGGTTGTGAGTAGTGGGAGGTGAGAAACGGGTTGAATTAAATATGTATTAGTTAATACTATTTTCTTCCCAGGTCCTATTTTACTGTTGCCCACAAAGTTCATCTGTGTTACACTGTTATTTTCAGGTGTGTCACTTCTTTGCCAGGGTTTGCATCACAGGCGCTGACTTCCTTTTCCCTCTGGGCTCTCCACCCCAAATCCACTTTTTCCTTCAAGGCCCTATCCTCTCTGTCTCTTTCCAGCCCTGCTCTGTCCACTCTCTGAGGGCTCTCTCCTGTGACTCACTGCTCTCTCTCAAGTGCCTCCCACCAGCTCCCAAATAGCGGAGGCTGGTAAGTGCTGAGCACCCCCTATTTTTTTCTGTGGGTCATTGAGACCCAGAGCACCCACAGAGCTGGCACCTATCGTTTGTATTGATGTCTGTATTGTTTCCTGCACATTGGGTTTTATACGCCTTGCCAGCAGTGGTAGCATTATTCATTTTTTCCAAAGGACAGCACTTCTTGTAACTCATTATAGGGAGGTGTCACCTTGGAATCAGAAAAAGGAACCCATGATTCAACCCCCAAAAGAAGGAGGGAGAAGCCACTCCAAGTGCCAGGGGAAGGGCAACACTTGCCATCCCTCCTTGATAGCAGGGAAATATGAAGGCAACAGAACTAGAGATTTGTAGAATCCTTCACAGCAAAGTATAGTCACAGCTAAGAAA